CTTTAAAAGGATCAGGAGAATCCAATTTGTTGATGGGCCGTTCCCCAGGTGGTGGTGGATGAGGTATTGTTAGAGTTCCAGTCTTTGGTGCCAGTGCTGGAGGTACATCTTCATTCTTGACCCGTGTTTCCACAAAGGCTGTCAGAGCTTGACCAGGCTGGACTAAAAGGATCTTCAGTGTTGACCTTTGACAGTGTGCTGAAGTCAGCATATTCATCTCCAAATGACTTCTTTTTGAAAGCAGAGACAAAGAGGACTATTGGGGAATCACTTGCTGCAATAACAGCTGTTCCACCAGGAGCAAAAGGATCATTGTGCTTCAATGTTTCTGCCAATGCATCATTGCTGTTGCTGGGTGCACTGAAAGGGTCAATAGCTGAAGTGGCAAAAGGGTCAGTAGAAGATTGCTTGAAGAAACAGTCAGATGCAAAGGGATCTGAACCTTGGAAAGCATCACCACCAAATGGGTCAATTTTCCCAAAAGGATCATCCTCAAAAATATCACTACCAAATAAACGAATCAGACTGGAAAAAATTCAAGTGTGTATCTGCAACTGGATCTGTCAGTGAACTTGATTCCACATTAAATGGATCTTCCTCTTTTGCATGTCTGTCATTGTCAACTTCAGGACAAACTTTTTCATTAACAGGTGCAGTCACCACTTTGTTTTCATCAATCACATCAGAAGGTGGTATTTCAGGACTATTTGCTAGAGACTCCTGGTGTACAGCTCAGGCTCCAGGTTGCTCTGGTCTTCTGCAAGTTCATTAAGGGTGGCTCCTTGGCAGTTGCTGATGCTGAGGCTGCAATAATCTGTGGTGCCATTTACAAGAACACTGTGTGGGCTGCTGCACCAATTGGATTGATTATTATGATTACTCAAGCTTTCATTTCCATCAGTCTCATTTGCACTGAACTGATTTCCTGCTGTGAATCTTATTTTTTTTTTTTTTATACCAGGGATCGAACTTGGGACTTTGCGCTTTCCAGGCAAGCAGAGGAACCACTGAGCTAAATCCCTGGCCCTCCTGCAGTGAATCTTGCAGATGGTATTGAAGAGTTTCCAGATAAGCCTTTCCTGACTTCACACTCTCCACCAATTCTGCTTTTTCTTGTTGTAGGCAGCTCAGCTCTTCTCTAGCTTTGGCCTGTTTTTCTTCATAAGTACAGATCTATGATTCTTGAGTAGTTATTTTAGCTTTCAAAGATGAAATCAACTAGGCCTCCTCAGTGTGTGCCTTTCTGACTTTGAGTTTCTCCTCTAGCTGGGCTTTCTACTCATCTGGATCACCGAGGAGTTCCTGTACTTGCTGCTTCTGCCTCTGTAGTTTTTGTAGATTAACATTCTCCCTTTGAACTTCATCTTGAAGACCCTGAACCTCACTTGTCCTCCATTTAATAGTATCTTCTTTCTCCTTAAGGTCCAGTTCCACATTATTCTTTTCCCTCCACACTTCAACTATTTCATTGTTAAGGATATCTAGCTCCTTAATAGCAGAGAAATCTGCAACAGAACTTGATCCTATGATGTTCTTTTGTAAAGTCCTTCTGTCTGATGGTGGAATCATCTCAGGAGTAAGAATGTGAAGAGGATCAATGCCTTTTATGAACTTTTGATTGATTAAGTGAAAAGCCAAAGAAAACTGATCCATTGAAAGCTTCCCACAGTCCTTTGTGTCATATAATGCCCAAGTATGGGCCAGTAAGGTAGAAGGTAAACCTGTTTTCAGAAAGATGTCATGGACCTCCAATTAAGACACAAAGCCATCCATATCTTTATCTGTTTTCAGGAAGATTTCATCCTATTTAGCTTTTTCTGCAGGGGATGCAACCCATGTTTTTCTTTTAGATGGTGGCACCAAAGCTGGAAGCAAGGACATTGTCACAGGTCTTTTCTCCAGTGCACACTATACTAAAAACATGGCCCTTCAAATAAAGTTCTTGCACTGACAAAAGCAAATGACAATCTGGGGAAACTACTATACTGCAAAGTCATCTCTGGTCAGCATTCCATCATGGTCCATATCACTCAACTCTGAAACTCTTCCAAGGATTTCCACAGGTAACTCACAGTTGAGCAATGCTGGTTACACTTGACCCCAGACAAAAATCCATTCACTGGGCTTAAGATATCAAAAATTGTATCATATCTGGACTTATCTTCAGAGTTTATAGCTGCAGAAATTCTACTGCTTAGCAAAGGACTATGGGTACTATGAAATGTTGGTGGAGGAACAGCCAGCTTCAAGCTATTCAGTGAAACTTCCTGTCCATTCAGGGCACATGCCACAAGACACAAAGCAACAAAGAATTCTTGTTTGTTCAGGTTGCCTTTGCCATCTGTGTCAGCTAAATCCCAAATCTTTCCAAGCATCAAGTCTGGAAGCCCTGACTTTTCCAAGAAAGCAGCAGCATCTGAAGGCAACACCCTTCCAGCACTGCCTGTGTCAACTTGTCTCTAGTTCTTTTCTTTTTACCAGATTCCAGCTTGATAACTGTGCCAGGGAGAGCTGGGCTCTGGGCCATGGTGTTTCTGTCATGCACAGGAGGGGGAGCCCTTTTTATTTTTTGAGACAGGTTCTTGCTAAATTGATAAGTTGCCCAGGCTGGGCTCAAACTTGCCATCCTCATACCTCCCACAGTGCTGGGATTTACAGGCATCCACTTCCATTCCTGCTCCATAATTCTACTGAACAATCATTCTGTGTAGATTTTTACTTTTCTCCTCAGACAGTGCTGCTGTTCCAGCCCAGGGCAAATGTTTAAACTCTTGGCTGTCAGCTCTCTCTGGGACAGGCTGCATCTCCTTGGATGGTAGGATTCTGCCTAGGGCCACACCTTTGGATTAGAGAACTAAGACAAGGGCCACACAGGGGAGTGCGCTCCCTCTGGTGCCAGGGGAGGAGATATTTCTATAGGCAGAGATAGTTTCCAAGCCACTTAGTTTTTGCAGAAAGATGAGGGAGGAAGGGGATGGTCACAGAATGTTGGCCAAATTGTAGGGAATTTTATTTGGAATGCTAGATTCTCTAGTAGAGAAACTCAAACAAGAATGATTTCATCACTGTGAAACTTTTATTTAAGCCCATTGTTCGATATAAATCACAAAAAATGTTCACAGAGGTTCACCCAATTCTTACAACTTTTCAGGCCCTTCAATCTCCTGATTCCCTTTCTTCCTCTATTCTCATTCATATTCTCATCCCCCCCCCCGTTTTGGTTTGGAAGAGGTTGAGACAGAGTCTCACTGTAGCCCAGGCTGGCCTTGAACTCACAGTAATCAGTAACCCTCCTGCCTCAGTCCCCTGAGTGCTGGGATGCCAGGTGTGCCCCTCCATGCCTGACTTCCTCCTCTGTTATAAATCCTACTTTCCCTTTCTCATTTTCAACCATAATCCTTGTCTATCTTAAACAAAATATAGTAAAAAGCCTTCCTAAAATAATGAATCCTTAGGAAAAATAAACACAGGTCAAGTACATTTGGGGCAAGGGAAACTCTACCAACACCCTTCTGAGTATGGAAATCTCAATAAACAGTGACAAGAGAAAACTGACTTACAAAAAGAATTCTTTGCCTTGGGTTCCTCAAGGCAAGCCAGGATGGCAGGTCAGCAAAGACAAATCAGAGGGGAAAGATGTAGCAGGGCTCCAGAGAGAGTAATACGCATTTACGTGAAACCACTGTCTTGGGAAAAGCCTCCAGAGTTGAGGGTAGGCTGGTGACAGCAGCAGAATTATCTCAAGAATCTCTGAAACACTGGCTTCTCCTTCTATGGAGAAGCATTACTGCCCCAATTATTTCTTTCTAAGATACATTCCTCCTTCTTCTACTGGTGAGTTGTGTGTGTGTGTGTGTGTGCGCACACGCATGCGCGCTAAGGATCAAACCCAGGACATCACAAATGCTAGGCAAGCACTATACCATGGAACTACAACCCTACCCCCATCTGGTGTGTTTCTAGGCAGCCCTGAAGGTTCAGTTCAAACTGCATCTTTTTGGGATGCCTCCTCTGATGGAAGCTGTGTGGGTAGTATTCACACCTTCATCCTCTGGGCTTTCATAGGACTCTTTTGCTTCTAAGTTCACCGAAACACTTGTATGGGTTCATGACTCTGTCCTCTGACAGGAGCTCTCTGACCTGCGCATCCTTGTGCCTCATAAAATGCCTGGCTCATATTAGGAAAGACAGGAGAACAGAGGCCAAGAACAAAGAGAACAAAAACACACATGAGGAAACACAGGATAGAGGAAGGGGAGAGGAAGAATGCCTCAGCATTCCCTGGCCAAGGAAAAGGGAAATGCATTAAAAATAAAACAATAGGTATTGATAGAAAATAGCTTATATGAGTCTTCTCTACTTTTTGCCACGTCCTCTTGTGTCTTGAGACCTCACACCATGACTGCTCTTGATTCTCCAGTTCACCCACAGGGAAGGAAAGCCAGGTGTCTGCCTTCTTTCACCCCATGGCTCAACCTCCTGTCATTCCTTTCCCACTATGGGCTCCTCCCTCCTTGGCCTCTGCCCCGTTCCCCACACAATGTTTCCAGCTAACTCGCTGGAAGCTTTCAGGTATCTCAGATGCCTTTGCAGTGATAGGAGCTTCCGCCTCAGATGAAAACCAAAAGGGGCAGCCTATGGACTCTGGGCTGAAAAATGCTAGACTGGGCCAGCAAAATTACCTGAGAAAAAATATTGCCAAGAGGCTGCAGCCAGGCGGGATGGGAGAGTATAAAGGACTAAGTGCTGGGAAACAAAAGGCTGAGCAGTTCCTCCCTCACGCCTCAAATTCATGGAGAGCCTTTCCATAATTATTTCCTTCCTTCCTTTCTTTCTTTCTTTCTTTCTTTCTCTTTCTTTCTTTCTCTCTTTCTCTTTCCCTTTCTCTTTTCTTTCTCTTCCTTTCTCTCTCCCTCCTTTCTTTTCTTCTTTCTCTCTCCCTTTCTCTTTTCTTTCTTTCCCTTTCTCTCTCCCCTTCCTTCCCCCCCACCTGCCTGCCTGCCTTTCTTCTCCCTGTCCCTGTCCCTGTCCCTCTCTCTCTCCCTCTCTCTCTCACTAAGGACTGAAGAACCCAGGGCCTTGAACACACAAGGAAAGAGCTCTACCACTGAGATACAATAAAATGTCCAAATATCCAATAAAATGTCCAGCCCCTTTTCATTTGATTCTGAGAAAAGCTCTCACTAAATTTCACAGGCTAGCCTCAAGCTTGTGATCCTACCTCAGAGTCTGGAGTAGCTGGGATTACAAGCATGAGCCACCACACCTGACTTCTATTTTTCTCTTTGATCCATGGATTGGAATAATTTTCCAACTTTCCTCTCATGACCCCTAAGCTTTGGCTACTAGAGCTTCTATTTATTTATTTATTTCTGTGCATGCGTATGTGTGTGTGTGTGTGTGTGTGTGTGTGTGTGTGTATCTATGTGCTGGGGATTGAACCCAGATGTTCATGTATGCTAAGCAGACGCTCTATCACTGAGCTACATCCTGGCCAATACTGGATATTCTTGACTGTTTTCCAAGCACATGCCCTTCTCCTCTCAAGAACCCCTAAGCCTATGGTTGCTCCTAAGTCACTTTTTTTCCCTTTGGTTTAGACATGGCCTTGCTAATGGCTTAGGCTGGCTTTGAACTCACTATGTAGCCCAGGCTGGCCTCAAACTCTAGGTGATCCTCCTGCCTCATCCTCTTAGTCATTTCTCTTATTCCACTATTTAGCTGCTACCATGGATAGTGGCACATACCTGTGATCCCAGGATTTTGGATGCTGAGGCACGAGGACTGCTGTGAAGTTGAGGCCACAACCTAAGGTACATAGTGAGTTCAAGGCTAGCCTGAAGTACATAGGGAGACCCTGTCTCAAAAAACAAATAACCAAAACAAACAAAGAATCTCAAGTATTCAGCTGCCTCTCCTTCTCCAAAGCTCTTTCCCCACTTCGGGAGTCACTTTCCCTCAGTGTATATCATATATACAAGAGCAGTTTATGAACTGTCAAGCACTGTGTAAAAATACTACCAAGAATACTAATCTCTCTCTCTCATAAACTCTGTTTTTCATGATATTTCATATCCCTTCCTCCCCCTGTACACTTCTGCTCCCCTGTCATCCAGCAGGTTTGGTTTGGCGCAGGGTGGAAACCAAAGCTGTGTGCTACACCGTGGGCAGTGTCAAAATGCAAGCAGGCATCTCAGCCCGAGGCCTTGGCAGAGTTCCCAGGCACAGCCATCGGCCCAGCCCAGGACAGTAGGCATGGATAAGGTGAGAGAGGGCATAAGTACGGTGGCTGTAGCCCCCCATCACCAGTAGCTCTCCCTGCAGCACAGCACCTGCAGCACCTACATGGGCAGATGGCAGGGGTGCCAAGTGAGTCCATCTATCAGTCCTTGGTTCATAGGACTCAAAGCTAAGAAGGTCTCCCGTCTCACCTAGCCCACCTGCTACATACAATCGCCCACCCAGAGCAGCCATAACATGGCCAGCCCGAGGTATCCCCATTGGGCTCAAAAGTGTTCCTTTCTTCTCAAGTTTGGGGTCATAGTGTAGCAACGAGGCCAGGTATTGGCCAGCTCCACTATAGCCACCGCTCAGGTACAATTGGCCTTCCAAGATGGCAGCTGCATGGGCAAAGCATGGGGCTGGAAGCGCAGGAGCTGGCCTAAGGCAGAACAGGACAAGATCAGGCAATTGGTGTCTTCAACTCTCTCTCTATTCCAAGTGTAGTTCTCCCTGAATGCAGCCTTTCCCACTTACCTCCAGACATTGAGCTCAGGGTTGTAGGTCTCCACAGAGCTAAGGGCAACACCATTGTATCGCCCACCCAAGGCATAAAGTAGTCCATCCAATGCCACCAGGGGGAACAAGCTCCGAGCCTGGCACAAAGGTGCCATCTCTTCCCAGTCCTCTTGACTGGGGTCCCACCTGGAATACAGTGAGACAAGAAATGGGAATAGTGACCCTGGGATCCTGTGGTTGGCTGGGTCAGGAATTTCTCTCACCTGCCCACCTTGGGGCCTGCCATGCCCTCCCCACTCTGAGAGGCTCATACCTGACAGTTGAAGCCAGAGTGTTGGAGTGGCTGTAGAAATCCTGTCCCCCACACACATAGAGCTCACTTCCTGTCAGGCTTGCAGCCCCATGCCGGAAGCGTCCTGGGGTAGGCAGGCCAGGCAGCTGCCCCCACTCCACAGTTCGTACCAGCCCCGTGCCACAGTGGAAGGCCCGGGCCCACCACACTTTTTGAGAAGGCTGTCTTCGGGCCATGTCAGGTCTGAGCTCATCCCCACCAATCACTACCAGTGCCTGGTCAGGCTTCCTCCACCTCTCTTGACCTGGAATCTCAGCCTCCACCATCAGCTGGTATAGCAAGTTTGAGGGGAGAGATGGGGGTAGCCCAGCTGCCCGCACTTTTCTCAGCTCCCTGGTAGACATACGGCCAAAGCGGATACATTGCAGCAGGGCCTTGGCCTCTGACTCCGGTGTCTCAGGGTTGGCAGCTAACCAATACCGTGCAGCCACGAAGGCCTCAAACTCCTCCTGCACATGGAGCTCATCACTGTCCAGGAGCTCAGCCAGACAGGCAGCTGGTAAGGAAGGGAAAGCAGGGCACAAAGCCACAGCAGGCAGGTGGGTGAGGATGTAGTGACGAGCTTTATTCCAGAGCCTCTCCAACCCGGGGGCTTCACCCATGAGGAATAGGGCCAAGCAACGGCCAGGGTTGAGGCCTTGAGCCAAGGCCTTCTGACACAGATCCAGGCAGGAAGAACTTTGGTACTGCAGAGCAGCCTGGGCAGCTTTCAGCAGTCCTGGCCACCCTGCCTGCACTACCCCAGAGTAAGCAAAAGAGACAAGGAGTCGCAGGTCCTGGGAAGACATGGTACGCAGAGATACCTCGGTGCCTTGGGATTCCCTCATTCCACTCAGGAGCATGGCCCCAAAGAACTCACTGCCACAGGCCAGGGCTGCTCGGTGCACTGTAGGAGAGAAGAAGCAGAGGAAGACCCATGGTGTGGCAAGACTGCTAGACAATCCCAGCTTTGGGCCAAGCACCCACGGACACAGCCAAACCATAGTGCGCACTGGAAAATCATGGGGTACTTGTGGAATGCAGCTTTTAGAGGCCTACCCCTAAGGGTTCTGATTCAGTAGGTCTGGACAAAGGCCCTAGGAATTTTTATGTTAACATTTTGAAGTACCTGCAATGATTCTCATGTTGTTGGTCTGAATATGCTTTAGTTTTTTAGTGCAGGTCAGTTGGAAAAAGACTTTTTTTTTTTAAGACAAGGTCTCACTATGTAGTCCAGGCTGGCCTCGAACTCCCTGAGATCCTCCTGCCTCTGCCTCCTGAGGGCTGGGATTACAGGTGTGTGCACTATGCCCAACAGAAAAAAGAGTCTTAATAGGTCAAACTGAGAAGATGCTAGAAATAGCATTAAAAAAAAGAAGCATAAAATAAACTGGAAAGAACAACGTGTAACTTGCGTAAGTCTCTATATATTGTGCATAAAATAAAATCTTTCCTTTATAATTGTGAAAGCTACTGCCATCAGCCATTCTGGGTTTTTGTTTGTTTGTTTGTTTGCTTTTTGAGACAGGGTCTCGTTATGTACTCCAACCTGGCCTTGAACTCACTGTGTAGCCCAGGCTGGCCTCAAACTTGCAGCGAATCTCCTGCCTTAGCCTCCTGCAGCCATTCTGTTAGATTTTGCTGGAAAAGGAGTACCACTCAAGAATGTCTATAATTTTACTGGGTGTGGTGGTGCACGTCTGTAATCCTAGCTATTTGAGAGACTGAGGAAGGAGGATTGCAAGTTTGAGGCCAGCCTAGGCAATTTAATGAGAACCTGCCTCAAAAAATATATATGTAAATAAAAAGGGCTGGGGATATAGCTCAGGGCTCTCTAGGTTCAATCCCCAGTACAACTCACCCCTAAAATAAGTATATAAGTGAATGAAAGAATGAATGAATGAGTGAGTAAGTGGATAGGGCTGTGGATATGGCTCAGTGGTAGGTAGAGTACTTACCCAGCATATTCAAGGACTCAAGTTCAGTCTCCCCACCCCCAAAAAAGGGAAGAAATAAACATCAAAAAGCATGGCTGAAACCCAACCTCTTCTAACTGCCATCACCTCTTGCCTAAGATTTTCCAGGTATCTCAGCTTTTCTCTGTACTGTCCTCTCCCCATCTTGTTATAGTTCATGAAACTATGAAATCTGAAACTTCAATTTTCAAAATCATCTAGTTCAATTATGACTTGTAAGGTAAGAAAACTGAGTCCCAGAGAAAGGATGTGATTTGTTTTCTATTTCCATGCAGTGACCATTGAGGCAGTTCATGACCATCCGCTGCCATTAATGTCAAGCTGCAAGAAACGTGCTTTTGTACCAATATCTTGGTTATCTGCAGGGCCTTCATAACAATGAAACTATCCTATTAACAAACATTGTTAAACAGCCAGAGCTCATATACTGCCTAAAGTAACACAATTTGAAGTACTTAGCATCATCTATGGAGCATTCTGGCTAAACTATTTAATCTAATCTCATTGAAATTGAGAAGTTAAAGGAACTAATTAAACAAAACCATAAGGGAAAAAGCACAAATCCAGGAAATGAAGTATTTTATGGAATAACCAATCTTGTTTCTTCAATAAGTCAAGTCATAAAAAGTGGAGGGAACACTGAACAAGACTAAATAAACTTAAGAGGCATACAAGTGATTATAGCATAATCCTTGATTAGTTTCTGGGTTGAATGAACTAGCTCTAAAAGATATTTTTTGAACATGGGAAAATATAAAAGTGGACTAGGTGATATTTATTAAAGAATTACTGTTAATTTTGTTGGACATGATAAAGGTATTGTGGATATAAAAAAATTTGCAATGTGAGGGATCAAACTTGGGATCTAGCACATGCTAGGCCTGTATACACACACACACACACACACACACACCCTACTGAGCCATATCCTCAACCCAAATGTCCTTTGTTCAGGCTGGCCTTGAACTCACTATGTAGCCAAGGATGGAATCAAACTTGCAATTCTCCTGCCTCAGCCTTCCAAATGCTGGTATTGCATACATGGACCATCATGTTCAACTGTCTTTTTTCTTTTTTTCTTAAGACACTTCTCTGAGGGCCAGGGATTTAGTTCAGTGGCTCCTCACCTGCCTCACAAGCATAAGGTCCTGAGTTAGAACCCCGGTAAAAAAAAAAAAAAAAGACACTTATCTGAGCATTTATGAAGGAAATGCCATAAATTTAAACTTTAGCAAAAAACAGATAAAATAAGTATAGTAAATTGTTAGTTGTTTAGTCTGGGTGATGAGTGAATATCTATATTTATCTTACTAGTCTCTTCACTTTACAATGTTTGCTTCATAGCATTATTATTTACTATATTTGCTTTGTATTATGAAATATTTCATAATACAAAGAGGGAAAATGTTGCTAGAAGTCCAGTCAGGCAGTTTACGGGGGCCAAACTCTTAAGTGAGGTTTATGAACTCATGCTGCTTTGACCACTTGTGGCATGTGTGCTTCTCTCAATGAGTAACTCATGTTCATATGGCTTCCACTGGCTTTTTAAGCAGTAGATAGTGGCTTGGGGCCTCCCAAGTAACAAATATCTGTGATAGCTTTTTTTTTTTTAGACAAGATCTTGCTTTGTGTTTTTGTGTTCAGGCTGGCCCTGAACTCACTTTGTATCCCAGGCTGGCCTCAAACTCGGCAATCCTCCTGCCTCTGCCTCCTGAGTCCTGGGATTACAGGCATGTGCCACCACACCTGGCTATCTTTTTATTATATATTGTCTGGGAAAATAATCTACATTCCTGAAAATGAGTTAAGCCATCTCAGCTTCCATATCATCAATCAACTTAGAGCTCAGAGCCGACTGGGAAAGTGCTCGCAGCCACTTGTGTTCATCTGTTATTCATCACTGTCCCCTATGATTTTAAATTATATGAATGTTTAAATTCCAACCCCCAGTGAGAATTTTATAATTATAAAATATTAACACTCTCTCAATCTAGTGTTATCAGAAATGATAATAAAGACTTCTGGGGTAGTTTTTTCCTCCTGGGAGTTGCAGAAACTGATAGGTCCCTGTCATTCCTTTAAAGATCAGTAACTATATGACTCTGGACATGTCTTGGGAACTGATTTCTTCATTAGTAAAGTATAAAACCTGAACCAGATAGTCACTAAACTAATCCCTTGTAACTTTAAATTTTTATGTGCCGCATTTTGACTTCATTTTCTAGGTCCTATGTGTCTTGGAATAACTGCATAGGAGGCAATGCCTGGCATAGTGGAAGCACACAGGACTAGCTTGTTTGTATCCTGGCTCTTACCCATTAACACCTCTGGGTTAATGTTTATTATCTGAACCTAGAGACAGTGATATCTACCTAACTAGTTTTCAGTGAGAATTAAGAGAGGCACATGTAAAAATTTCTGGTTTCTCAGACAACACTTAGTAAAATCTGAATACAAATCAACTTATTGAACTGTAGTTTCCCTGGTGACGCTCAATTAACTTCAAAGAGTCATGGCTTGAGAGCATTAAGATTCTGGCAAAATAGTACCAGACCTCGCTTGTTAGCTCCAGAGCCCGTATGTCTACTCTAGTATCTAGTACACGAAAATGAAAGGTGAAAGGTATTATGAGTTTTCCACCCCATTTCTCTGCCTTCTTGTACACAGAATAGAAGATGCCAACGGCTTTTGGTTAATCTGTTTGAGTCAATCACTTTCTGCTTGTTCTAGTGCCATTAACTGTGCCTGTAGCTCCAACCAGCTGGCTGGAAATCCCTTGACACTACGCAGGGCAGAAACCAGAGCACGCAGGATCAGTTTAAATCTCTCTGCGCCTAGGAAAATAACAACTCAACTGCGCGTGCGCAGCTCTCGGTTAGCAGCAACTCTGGTGGCCATCAGCAGGTAAGCACCTGCTGTTTGCACACACCGTTTGGGTAGCATATGCGCTTGCACTCATGTAATATCCCATAGACCCTCACCATGCAGCCGGCAGCCGTCTGCTTCCAGCTCCAGATCACACCCGACACCCTCTCGGTAGAGGCGCTCGATGCTGCGGAGATTTTCCTTCAGCTCCTCCGCCTGGGTGGGCGGCTTTTCATCTTCCGTGGTGTTTCCAGAGCCCTGGCATCTCCGCTGGGCTGCGGCCTTCACCCGAGGCGCTCCCAGGACTTCTGCCGCAGCCAGCACATCCCCCAGCAAGGCTGGGCCCAGCACCCCCTCATAGGCAAAGGTCAGCACGGCCTTCCAGCCCCCAGGGGTCACATCCAGGCTGAGGCCGCGCCGCGGGCCCCCGCCATCCAGCAGCATGCCTCGGAAGAGGCTGCTGACTGCGGCCAAGATGACCCGGTGCACCCCGTAAACCCGCCCCCCGACTGACACCTCTTCGTCCAGCAGCAGCCTCTGCTCCCACAGCCTCTGTGCTTCGGCAAAGAACTGGCTCGGGTGCTCCTCGCTATACAGCCCCTCGGGGTACGCAGTGATGTCTGCATCATCCTCATCCTCTTCCTCCTTTTCCTCTAGGGAGAAAACTGGAGAGGGAAGGTTTCCTGGGACCAGGAGTCTGGGGCCAGGCTCTTCCAGAGGAAAGGAAAGGAAACCAGACTCCTCCGGGGAGGAAGGCCAGGAGGGGGTTCTTCGGGCAGGCACAGGGAGTCCGAGGCCGTCCTTCTGAACGGGAGAGGAGACACACTCCAGGTCAGAGCAGTGACGTGCGGCCTCAGAGACGCTCATGGCCTAGGTTTGTCAGATTGCTGCAAGCGAGCAGGCAAGAGAGAAGGGTGTCTTAGCTGTGCCCAGGAAGGCCAGGGGAACTACGTCTCCAGATCTTGGAACTACCAGTCCCTCCCTCTGTTCCAGCCTCCTACCCCCACCTCAAAGTCACTTCCCAAGACTGGAGTAGTGGGCCGTACAGTACTATGGGGTTCACTGGATCCAGTGAAGCATACAAGAGGTGTGTGTAGAAATCCAGTGCCCTGGGGCCAGATTCCTCCCATCCTCGTCCCCAGCCTTTAGTCCCCCTCACGAAACAGCAGTGTCCTGATGGTCCTCTCACTTGAAGGCTTGCTCTGCTTGGGACTGTGGTGTTCAGACCAAAGTCACCCGTTTCCCAGTCAGTAGCCCCACCTGGCTAATTATAGCCAGGGCTGGAGGGCTAAACACTGGGCTCCCAGTGCCCAAACTCTGACATCTAATCCCTCGGGACACGTCCTGAGATGACTCCCCCTCCTCCCACCTGGGGTGCTGAATGAGGGGAATTCAGGGTAGAGGGAGCCAAGCTAGGACTGTTTATTACAGTGTGCTGGGGGTGGGAGGCAGGGTTTGGAGAGTCTGGACCGCTCAGGGGTAGATGAAAAGGGTCAAAGTGTGTTTTGAGTCAGTCCTGGGCTTTGACTGATGACTTTTCTGTGCATGATAAAGCTGGCTGGGACCTTGCAGCAAACAATACTGATGTGAAGAGCAGACAGCCCAGCCCTATCCATGACAAACAGAAAAGAAGGGTTACTGAAGGGGCAGGGGTCAGGGTTACATACCTAGGCGCCTGACCTTGTCAGGGCTTCCTCTGTCTCAAGGGACATGGGATCCAACACTGTTTTCAGAAGAATCTGAGGGAATTTAACCTGGCCCATGGGATGAGGACCAGCCTGTGGCCTCTGCACTAGACCAGAATCCTGCACTAGATGGGCTGGGAGCACACGGTAAGTTCACATTTGAGGCAAACCCCCACAACTATGCCCTCTGTCCAGGATATTACATCCTTTCTCATCCTGAGACCTAATTCCTGGCCGAAGCCCCTAAAATAGGGTTATCAATCCGCAAGGCGGTTCTGGGTGTCATCCAGGAGAAAGGATTTAGGGAGGAGGGCAGCAACGTACCTCCCCTCCCTTCTCTGGAGGAGGTAAGATAGGCCAAAGGCTGCTAGGGGCGGACTCCCTGGCCTATAAAAGGCTGGTCCAAGCTAGATAGACTAGCAAAATAAGCAGACTTAATGGGGGAGAAACATGCTTGTCTCTTACAATTCAGGTAAATGAGCTTTTATGGGTATGAGTTGGGTAGGTGAGTTGACCAGCAGAGCAACCCCTGTGGCTTCAGGAGTTGCCTCTCTTTCTCCGCTTACAACCTGGGTGCCCTGGCCAACTTGGGTAGCATTCCCTAGGTGAACCTACCACAGGGATACACTCCTCAAAATTGAGAGAGGCAGACCATGGAGAGATAATGACCAGCTTCTACAGCCTTTCCCCCACATCAGACATTTCAGACTACTCACACAGCTCTCCTGAAGTAAGAACAATGGAGCCAGCATCTTGAGCCCACACCAGAAAGTAGAGGAACTACAAGTCAGAGATATACCACTTGCAACCTCTGCCTACCACCCACCTATAAGGACAAGGACATTGGACCTTGCTATGAGTTCTGTGCCAATTCCACGGACCCAGGACAGCTCCATTGTAGCCAACCATTTCTGGAGGGTCTGCATGGCTCCACCATGGTGAGACCCATGCTAACTCCCAAAGGTAAGATACTGTATCTGCTGTCTGTGCCACTCTGTATCCCCCACTAAAGCCCTGGCACTGCCCTCCCCTGATAAGACCTCCAAGTCAGGAGCCATCCTCCCGGTTGCAGATATGCTGGCTAGAGAGGGCTCTTGGCATTTCTGTCAGTCTGTGCTGTCTCAGCCAGGGTATAGCTTGACTTCCACCTGTGCAGAGGACTGTGCCAAGCCACATGCCTGAGAAGATGATCCAGAGAATTCTTGGGCCAGAGCAGTCAAGGCCCCAGTGTGCTTCAGCACGTCATGGGAGTCATAGTAACAGTTTAGAGCTCAGGGTTCCCAAAGTTTGGGGCTCTCAATGGGTGAGAAGAATTTTATTCCAGCAATCCTGGAGGGTCTGAGGAAGGTAGGAGGCTGGGGGACGTGTGGTGTGTGTGCTGGAGACCCCTCCTCCCTCATCACTGCTCCACAGATCTGCTGTATGCTGCACATTTGGAGCATCATCCTCTACCTGTGGCTGTCTTGGTTTACTCCTCAGTCAGGTATAGGTATGAGTTCAGAGCTCTCCCTGGCAGCAGCAAAGGATTCAGGGGACATGGCCTGAATAAATTAATTCCCATCCCCACTCCAGTGCTCACATGGCTCATTATCCTGCTCTCGGCCTCAGTCACCACTAGCACTGCCTTGTCCATCTCAGACATCTCCACCAATGGCACAGTTTATTCTGGTCTGCTAACCATATTATTTCTCGGATTGTGCAGTCCTGTCAGGATTTGTGAGATCACAGACTAGCTCATCCTTCCTCTCCTGTCAGATAGCCAATACTTTCTGAACTCACAGTGCCTGGGTCCACAGCTTGGCAGTTTCATGGGGATCATTATTGCCTTTGCCAACATCAAGCTGTGGCTATGTACACAGTGGGCTTTGCAGAGACCCTCTTGGATTGGCTCCGGGTAGGTAGTGCCTATCCTTTCTTTTTGTGCTCTTCTCTCAAGTTTGCTGACCTTGGAAGGTCTAACCTGCACTGTGGCTCCAGCATGGGCAAATCATTTCAAAAATCACATGGAGGCATTGAATCAGCCAAGGACTCCGTAATGTCTGTGTTTTGCCCTTCTAGGAACATGGGGTGCAGCTGCTGAACGTGGATCCAGAAGATATGTGGGTGGTGGGCATGGTGACAGTGATTATCTTTCTGGGTGAGGCACTGGCCAGCATACAGTGGGAATCTTTTTTTTTTTTTTTTTGTACCTGGGATCGAACTCGGGACTGTGCACTTGTGAGGCAGGCAGCGGAACCACTGAGCTAAATCCCCGGCCCTTCAGTGGGAATCTAAGGCAGTTGCCAGAAAACTGAAGTGGATGAGACAAAGAGGACATGGAGTAGTTAACCCTTCCCTCCCGCTCACGTTTCTCCCACCTCTCTTTTTGTCACCCATGGTATTTCAGACCCAAATTATCCTCTTCTTGATCCTCCCTTGTCAACTACCTGCTGGGCACACTCATCCCTACAAACCCCAGTCAACAAGCCATTGGCTTCTTTGGTATCAAGGAACTGGGCTGGAAAATATATTAAAGGGAATAAATGTTTCAGAATATCACTCATACCCTTTGCAAGAGGGGCCTCATTAGCCCAGGAAAATGTCTCAAAAAAGAGTCCTTGATTTCCAAGTCTGCTTCTCACTTGCGAGTTGCCCATCAGACCAGTCAGAGTAATGTAAGTCTTCTGAGTTGGCTAGTTTCCCTCTTCTTTCCAGCCTAACCTAAGTCACTGGCACTAAGCTGGGTAGTGGGTAATACGGATCCTGGCTGAGTGAAGAGAAGACAGGAATAGCCCCTCTTTATTCTTTCACACAGGAAGTGTTTTCTTGGCAAACATGGTCCCACAGGGGTGTGGTTCAGAGGGCAGTTTCTTCAGTATGTTTTTCCATATTATTCCCCTCAGCCACTGGAGTCCTGGCTAGACCCAGTATTTCTGGAGACTTCAAGGTGAGAAGGCTGTTCAGCCAGGGGCACACCCTTTGCTGCCCCTCTCTTCTGTCCACCAATGGTCCAGTGTTTGTTCCCAAGACCCTGCTACCGCTGTCTCCAAGGGGACCCTCCTTGCCATTATGTGGACTGTACTCCCCTATCTGGGCATCGCCGTGACCACTGAGAAGGCCTTCTACTCTGGCCTTCTGTGCAGAATGACCTGGAGCCCCAGTTTTTGCTCCCTAAAAGACAGGGTATAGATGATACAATCAGCAAGAAGCATTCATCAGCCACAATAAAGTTAAGTGTACGGGCAGGTAACCTCCAGCCCCCCTCCCTCCAACCTTCATTTCTTCCCACCACTCACATTGTTAATGAACCGTATAATGGTTTTTGGTTAACATATTCCCTTCCCACCCTCCTATGCATGTACACGTCCGTTGCCCCTCTTGATGCTGGTGGTACCTACACAGCCCTACTGTTTGGGATGGAGTTTTCTCCCCATGAAGGAATGCCTAACTTTAGTCTTATTTCCAAGCTCCTGTATGATTGAGAGGCTTCCTGGAAATAGCACTGACAGGGCTGTGTGGAATGATAGCAGCCTTGGGCCAGAGTGCCTCTTCGGCTGGGATTTTAGCAGCTGTCAGGACCAAACGTCCTGACTCTATGGGCTCGCCAGTCACTACCTGGTAAGTGAACAAGCGGGGATAATTACATAAACTTTCTTATTCTCAGGCATAGAGGAGATGCTCAAAAGCCACTAATGTTTTAAGTGGATTCATGTGAGGGGGACAAAACCTTTAAAAATGTGGATAAAATTTAATCTGCCTTGTAATTTATGGGAAAACCAGGTGAAGTGAGCGGAATACACTGCTTCAGGAATGTGTGGATTCTGGCTCCTCTGGCCTGCTCAGGCCGTGAGCGTGGTGTCTGCCTTCAGTCCCCCGGAATCATCAGTGTCATCCTGTCCTCTGCCTTTTCCTGTCCTTGCTTTCCCACATTCCCAGGGCCTTCTCACACCCTACTCCTTCTATCCTTTCTTATTAAGACCTGTAGGATCCTTCAACTTCTCCCTCTAATTCCCACTCTCCCAGAGGAATAAGGGCTCTCTCTTTCTCCCTCTCTCTGGGAGACCCACCATGTGTTTTCATGGTGGCTATTCCAGAATAAACTGCACCATCATGGCAAGAACTAGAAGCCTGTGCAGGATTAGCTGCTTGCCTTCCTCATTGCTGTGGGTTTCATCCTTATTGTTGAGTATGCCCTACCTCACTTTCCAACTAGGCACTGCTCATCACTTTTCCTGTTACACCTCCCACAGCCCTGACTCTGGCTTTGAGGGCCTCATGCTGACCCCTCATTTCTCTCTCTCTAGTCCTCAACTCGGTGAAACTGTCTCATACTTGGTAGGAGATGAAAAAGTCGAACGTGGTGGTGAGTGGTGGTACATACATGTGAGGTGGAGTGAAGAGCAAGGAGTGAAGAATGAGAGGACAGGGAAAGGGAAGCCAGATGGCATACTTGCCTCTCCAGACCTGGATCCCATGACTCTAGTTTGGAGACCAACCCTCTGACATCTCATTTTTTCCAAAGCTGAGCTGAATATCATTGCCCCCATCTTCTCCAAATTTTTCTTCTGTTCCTATGCCCTCATGAACTTCAGCTACTTCCATGCCTCCCGTACCTAGTTGCCTGGTTGGTCTGGGCAGGTACTGGGGTCCAGGGATTCAAAGACTTGGGGGGTTGGGAGAGAATCCCTGGGGAATAATAAGTGGTACTGTGGCCGAGACAAGGGATGGCCGGCACTTTCACTCTCCTACAGGCTGGCAACCTTCCTTCTTCTGGTACAGACCCTCGCTTTCCTTCCTGGGCACTCTGCTCTGCCTGCTCATGATGTTCCTCCTCATTTGATGGACGGCACTCATTGCTATGTTGCTTATCCTTCTGCCGTTGCTCTGGATGTTCTACAAGAAAGCAGGTAAGTGAGTGGGCAGGTGGTAGGGGAATGAGGAAGTAAAATGTGGCAGGAGGCTGACCCGTACAAGAATCCCAGAACTGACAACAGCAAGTATCTGTTTCCTCACCCTTTTGTCTGCGCAGATGTGAACTGGGGCTCTTCAGTCCAGGTGAGCACCTATCGCCTGGCTTGGTTGAGCTCCATGAGCCTGACCAATGTGCAGGACCACTTTTAGAACTTCAGGTAAGTGAATCTCTGGACCAGAGGTTGAAAAATGTTGGCTGGTGGATTGGATCTTGCCTACAAATGAGTTTTGTTCAGATTGCACAGCACTTACAATGTTTACAATTAATTACAATTAACAATCCAGGCATCTGACAACCCTGGGCCTCTATCCCACATGACACACTTAGCTGGAGATGAGTAGCTCTTTCCTGTGAGACAAGGCAGTCTCCAGTTTTCCACAACTCCCACGTGACCCATTTTATTCTTTGATATTATGTGACTGCTTCTTGTAGGCTTTGAAGTTTTGAATCTCTGCTCTAGACAGAAGTAAACCAGCTTCCTAACATCTGTGCAGGGCCATGAAAGAAAAGGAAGGGAATAGAATTCTAGAAGAGAAAAGGGGAGACCAGGAGTGAGCTTGCTGAGGAGAATGTGGCTCCATGAGAAGGCAGCAGCCACCAGAGTGAGTTTGCAGTGTCCCTCATCATGCTATGAGATGGAGAAGCATCTCTAACACTCTTGGTTGCACCCTAAAATCCTCTCTAAAATCCCCCGATGGGTAGGAAAGACCTGATCATTATTCTGAGCATTATACCTTCCTTTCTATAGGCCACAGTGCCTGGTACTAACTTGCTTCCCTAGCCAGTATCTAGCCCCAGTGGATTTTGTGGGGGCCATCACCAAGAACATGAGTCCCATGATTTGAGGGAATGTGGTCTTAGTAAGAGAAGTGAGAATAGACACGAAAGCTGGAAACACTGAAGAAATGAAAAGGGTAGAGAGAACAACAGGTCAATGAGTGAGCTCCGAGAACTTGAAAAGTGAGAGGACAGGAAAAGGATGCTTTAAAGAAATGGTCTCCATCCTGTATTTCTGTTTTATTCTCTTAGGAACCCCAACCCATTCAGGAGCCTGAGAATCATGTCAAGTGTCTGAACGTCTGGAAGATTCACTCCTCCTAGAGTCGTATCTTCCCTAGGCTTTGTTCTGGGGCCCAGAGCCTCATGCAGGTCAGCCTGCCAAATTCAATCACTTCTTATCCTTCCCTGTCCAACATACTATATCCCCTTCTTTCTTCATTGCATTTCCATTCAGGTCTCAGGCCAACTGAAGTCCAATTTGCTGGCCTTGGGATATAAGCAAAATTGGCAGGAGGCTGTATTTCCCATGGAGGATTATGTAGGCATTATATAGTAAGTGTGGGATGGTGAAGGGGAAGATGAGCATAGAAATGATCAGGAACTAGAAATGGGAATGACAAATCCCATTCTGCTGCCCGGCGTTGCCCATGTCCCCAGGAAGGGAATACCCCTCTTCAGCTCTTCCTCCTATTTTTTTTCCTCCTATTTTTTTAAACCTCCCCCTCCTCCTCCCATAAAGTGATGCAACTATGGGGTCTGCCTCGTAAGGATGCCAGGAGGGTTAAGTGTGACTATCCAACATCATCCTCAAGGTGAATCAGAAGAGGTGAGCCTAAGGGAAAGAGAGGGTGTGGGAGGTATAGAAATTCACCATTAAAGTCTGGGAGTCAAGTGAACCATCTACAGTTAACAAGACCTGAGACAGAATAGAATTGGGGACCAGATGTAAGAAAAATGAATTTTGCTTTGAAGATTCTACCTAGAGGTTTAGTTTTCCTGAAACTGTAGGGGATGGAGAGGGCTTTAAAGATGTCATGTAAGTTCACAGGGAAGAAATGTGAATCAAGAGCTACAAGTAGCAGGATGCACTAGTGTGATCCAGAGGGGATATGGTCTAATTCTCCAGCAGAGTTTCTGGGACTATCCCAACTCTAATAGTATACATCTTCCTAGCTTAATTTTGGCACGTCCTCACTGAATGGGAGGGTCCAACAAAAGGTACAAAAAGATAATTCTTTTTTGTTATAACTCCATCTTTTCCAGTAAATCCATGGTGTTTGGATGCCAAAGTAATGAACACTCAGTAGAGGGAGGAGACAGAGTCTCCTTTATAGGAAATAAAGTTGGAGAGTGAAGAGAAGAAGCAGGCACCCAGGAAAGTAAATAGAAAAGGGAATGCAGTTAGTCAATGGGGAGAGACACCATGACATTTCTCTGGAATAGCAACAGTTCTGTCAGGGGAGGGGAAGGTAAGGTACTGGGTTCAAGCAGTTGATCAGCTGGATAAGGAATCTGTCTCAGGCTTCTCCTTTCTTTGGGCAGCTTCCCTATACCAGAAGCTTCAAACTATATCCCAGCGCGAGCAGGACATGTCCTGCAGACAGTGGACATGTACTGGCTCAGTAATGATGAAGGCAGGGACTCTATGACTCCATAAGAAGTTCCATTTCTCTCCAAGTTCCAGGAGAGAACAGGAAGAGGAAATTAGTGATTAAGGGGAAAACAAACTCTGCATTTACAAAACACCCAGTGTTCCCTCTCACTTCAGAAGCCTTCATGCTTTTCTTTCTCAGCCTCATGAAAAGGTGGGAAGGAAGGCTGCCCACCTCTTTTTTTCTTTTGAGACAGGATCTCAGTATGTAATCCAAGCTGGCTTTGAACTATGTAGCTCAAGCTGGCCTTGAACCCATAGGGAGCCTCCTGTCTCAGTCTCCCAAGTGTGAGGATTACACTTGGGAGAATGCCTGCTGCATCTCTTTTCTTATCTTCACAGGGCTTATACCGATACCCTATGTACTTGCATGAAGGAAAAAACAGACTTGATGTCCTTTAAGACTTTTTGTGAGCAGCCTCCATGAGCAGCTGGAGGAAAAATGCAGTGATTGGATCACAGAACCCCAAAGTTATGGCCAGGGGCCTACAATGCAGAAGACAGTAAGGGGAGGGAAGTTTATTAAGACACTTCCTGTAGATGGAAGGATAAAAATAAACCAGTAAATAGGCAGAATATCTAGTTTCTGGGTTAGGAATGTACAGGCCCTGGGTTTGATCTCTAGCATCACTGAAAAATACAGCTCCTGTCTTGTCTTTCCCTAGGATATGTTCCCTCCTCAGAAGGCTCAGGCTTGGCTTCCAACATGTGACAGTACTGCCTGATCTCACAGGCAAACCTTGAAAGAAGAGGTCAGATCTAAGTCCCCTGCCTTATACATTTCTCTTTCTGTCTTCTGGCTTCATAGTTAAGAACATAAAGAAACAAGTGTCAGATAAGTTATAACTTAACTGTGTATGTGGAAAGCAATGGTGATACTGGAAAGAGGAGGTGAAATGTGATGAAAGATGACTGCTGTAGGAATATAGCTGTGGAGAAACAGTAGCTTTAGTTTCTGTCTGGATCTCAATGGGCTTATGATCACCAGTTTGGAAGAAATGTAAGATTAGGCAGCAAAATAGAGAAAAACTGAAGAGTAAAGAAGCCCTATTTCTCAATTCCTGAAGACCAAAATTTTACATGATGGATATTTTCTCCTTCCTGCTCAATCAGAGATTTTGGTTCTCTGCAGTCAAAAGGCTTTTGAAAACTTGGTGGCTTTATATCAGTTCCAATAGCCACCATCAAAGGGGGATCTGGAATCTACCTGCCTCTTCAGTACTCCTTCACCTTCAGGCTACTTCCTGGAGCAGAACTTGCAGGCAAACCAAAAGAAGGTGTGTAGAACAGTGCCAAGTGGGGCAGCTCTCCCCGAGAGGCACCTGATAATGGCACCTCACCCTGTCTCTGCCTATTCATTCTAACCATGTAATCAGAGTGGCACATGTGTCTTCATGAAGTACTATGGCAATATTCCTGGGATGCCACCCTCATAGTCATGTGAGTCTCAGGAAATTTCAAAATACAGGGGCATAGATTCCAGGGATAGGGATCTTCCCATGACTAGGTAAGCTGAGGAACAGACTCTGTCTCATAATGCCTTTCCTACCTGAAGCTTATCTGTGATCCCTTTGACAACCTGTCCCGGGGCCCTGTACCTGACCTGGCTAGAGATGCTGTCCAGGGACCAGACATCCCCCATTGCCTTCATTTGTAGAAATCAAGAGGATGCCCTTACTCTATCCTGCCCTGTCAGAGCTGTAGGAGAGGAGACTGAGCCAGGGCTCAAGGAGTTTTGATTTTACTTTTTATTTCTTTCCTTCTTTCCTTTTTTGTGGTGCTGGGGCAAGAACCCAAGGCCTCACATGTGTCAGGCAACTAACTGCTTTACCACTAAACTACATACTAGCCTGACTTTTGTTTCTTAGTTTCACAAACTTAGAAGTCATCCTTGAGAATTCTCAGGCAAGAGCTCAAGGCTTCCCAAGGAAAGAACTCCTCTACTAAGCAACGTGAACTGAGGCTACAGTGCTGAAGGTCCTTCTTCCAAGATCCATTCCACCTCATAATATTAATAAATCAATACCTCAGGATGTATAGTAATACAGCTGCCGTCCATTTACCAAATTAACTCTCTAAGCTTAGACAGAGATCACTCTTATTCCCAAACATATTCAAAGGGAGGATTTTAACCTCTACTTGCAACCCTCTCCATCTCCCACCTTAGTCTCTAAATTTAAGTCTCCATTTCTCAGTGCATTTTTAACCAATTTATGTGTCTATCCCTCGTAAATAAAAAAGTATACACAGCCACTTTCTATTTAGTAAAACATGAGAAATTAACTCTTTCCCGAAACTCACACGATCCCTCCTTTTTATCTTTTGGTTCAAGTCTTACTTTACAATCCTCTGATCCTATCTTTGATTTACTTTCCTATCAACTTATTCATTTGTTCACAAACTGAATGCCCAGTAGATGTCACTCTCTTGAGTACTGGATGATAGAGCAATGCATGAAACACGATAAAAATGCCCTGTTCCCAATGGTGTTTATAGTCTAATATAAATAGAACAATTACAAGTAGGAAGAAAAGTAAAACAGGAAGAGGGTTTGGAAGTGCTAGAGAAGTGAGAATTTAAGCAGGGTTGTCAGGAAGTTTTCACTAAAAGAAGCTGAGCAGGGTTAAAAGAATATAAAGGAGTGAACTTCACCTGGGGAAGAGCAAAGGAGGAGGAGCAAAAATAAAGGCCTTGAGGGTCAGCATATCTGCAGTCCTTAAGCCCTTTCCCCTCCCCCATGCCCATTAGGAACTGGGTTTCAAAGCAGGTCGTGAGCAGTGTTGCGGGGTGTGTGTGTGAAGACTCATCTGTGCTTCAGCGGCTCCCCATCGCTTGCATTACTGTCTGAACTCTGCTTGTAGTCAGATCAGCAGTGGCACTAGACTGTCGTGGAAGCAAGAACCCCACTATGAACTTTGTACTCAAGGATCTAGGTCGCACACTCCTTATGAGAATCTAATGCTTGTTGCTCTGAGGTGGAGCTGAGGTAGGGATGTGAGCGCCAGGGTGTGGCTGCAAATACAGATTAACATTAGCAGACTGCACAGAGACTGGAAAAAATCAATTGCTTACAGACTTGTATCAGGACCCTACCAGTGAGTGGCAGGTGACAATTAAGCTGCATCTGGTGGCAGGCTTTATATCAGAATCTTAGACTTTAGTCTGCTTGTGGCCTGCCCATTATTTTATTTAGCACTTCTTTCACTTCTTTCCTGTACTGTGCATTTGTCTCAGTCAGTTTTGGTTAAGCCCATAAGCTAACCTTAGCCAAAACAGGTAAAAACAAGTGTCATCAGAGTTTCTTTCAAAAGAGGGAAAGAGCCTCGGAACCATGCCACTTTCCTGTTCTGTGAAAAAAATTGTCTTCCATGAAACTGGTCACTGGCACCAAAAAGGTTGGGAACCACTCCCCTAAGGAATAACCAAAAGGTCAATGTTGCTGAGAAGAAAGAAACGGAAGTAGCAGGAGATAAGACCAAAGTGGATGTGGGGAAGGGCAAGGCATATCAAGCTTTTTTTTTGTTTTTGAGACAGTCTCACTATACAGTTCAGGCTGGCCTTGAACTCACTATGCAGTCCAGACTGTCCTCAAACTTGTGATCCTCTTGCCTCAGCCTCTGAGTGCTAGGATTACAGGTGTACACCAACAGGCCTGGTTTTTTTCTCTCTCTTTTGGTTTATTTTTTTCACGCATGGTCTTTCAGGCCTTTAAAGGACTGGTTTTTTCCTGATGTAGGAAGCATCAGGATGTTAAATTTGAAATGCCTATTAAATACCCAAGTGGAGATAATAACAGGCACTAGATACATATTCAGGACAGAAGTCCAATTGGAACTATAAAATTGGAACTCACCCAAATCAAAAAAAATTTGGTGGAGGAACTACTGGAGATGGAACACAGGGGTATTTTACCACTGAGCTATATTCTTAGCCTATTTATTGTGACACTAGACACTGAATCTAGGGCCTTCACACTGAGCTACATCCCCAGCCCACTGAGACAGGATCATGCTAAATCACTAAGCTCCCCAAGCTAAGGCCCAACTCAAAATCCTCCTGCTTCAGCCTCCCATGGTCAGCTTTATTTTCTGAGGTAAGGTCTCAATAAGCTGTCCAGCCTGGCCTCAAATTTATGATCCTTTTGACTTGGCCTCTCAAGTAGTTTAATGGTAAGACTGGATAAAATCACTTCAGGTGACTGTGTAAATAGAACAGTCTGAGGACTGAACTCTGGAAAGTTAACAGCTTATGGAGATAAGGAGAAACTTGCACAAAACAAAGAACAGTCAGCTAGGAAGCAGCAGAAAATATATTCTAAAGCTGGAGAAGAGGGAGTGTCAAATGCTGATAGACTGTAAGATAAAGCAGAATATGCCACTGTATTTAGCTATAACCAAGTCATTAATGACCATGATAGAAACAGTTCTGGTGGAATAGATTTTTTTTTTTTTTTTTTTGGTGGAGTAGATTTAATAAGAAATTTTTGGAAATTGGAGATAACTCCTAAGTTTTGCTATAAAGTAGAGCACAAAATGAGAAGCATCTGAAAGAGAAAATGAGATCAGAAGGCATCATTTGTAAAATGAGAAAAATAGCTTATTTGTGTGCTGATGGGAAGACTCAGGAAAGAAAATACTGACTCTACAAAAAAGGAGGAAGAAAGCTGGAGAACTGCTGAGCCAGGTCCTTAAAAGCTAGAGGATATGTCTACAGCACTTATCTGTAGACAGGAACAAAGACAGTATTTATAGTAGTTTCTCAGCCTCAACACCAAATATTTAGAGCACAAATTCTTTGTTGGGGAGGGCTGGGGGGGGCTTCCCTGTGCACTGTAAGATACTTTACAATATCCCTTCCCTATTTTGACAACCAAATGTTCTCTGATATACAAAATCAGCCCTACTTGAGAGCTACTAGTTTATGGTGACAGGAAGGAGAGGCAAATACATGAGCACAGATGCTGGAAGGTAGTCATGTGGTCAAAGTAAAATATAGGCAAGAGATAAGATATATATATGCAATAGTTTATTAGTGAAATTTAGCTGGAGAAAAAAGGAAATGAAGACATGGGGAATAAAGTCAGTGGAAAGTACAATAAAAGGATTGTAGGTCCTGGTGAAGGGATGAATTGATGGATTCAACACAGTAAAGAGAATAATCTGGAAAGACAGGAGGTAATGATAGAACAGCAGGATATTTGAGATTGAGATATGAGGGAAATATAGGTCTAGACTATGACTAAGGCAATACACGGTTGAAGTAGTTATTAGAAGGATGATCTACACAGATATTGAAATCAAAGTTGATGACAAGAATGGTATAGGTCCAGTATAGTCTAATGCTTCAAATGGGTATTAGGGAAGGAAGAATGGTCTGGAAATAGGATAAGCAGAACAAATACACCTGTACCACTTCCAGGCCCAATGCTGCAATGCATGTGGAAATCACTCACATTAGAAATGTGACAGTAAAAGCAGTCCTCATGAGAAACCAGGACTCAAGGCAAGAATGGTAAGGGAACATTCAAAGAACAGGTTTAGGAAAGAGAAGAGGTTGAGAATATACGAAGCTTTGCAAATGACCGCCTGTTAGTTCTGGAAAGTAAGCAGCAAGCTTCAGGAGTTGGGAGGAGGTAGATGGGGACCAAAAACAGGGCAAAGAAATGTATGAATACTATAGTGCAAAAGATAAGGTGATTTGGTGATGTGGGACTTCTTGTGATGATATATTGAAGATAAAGGGCAAGATTAATAGTTCTGGTGATCATGATAGGGAGGGATGTATATCTGGACCCAATCATATTTGCCAGGCATGATCTGCTGGAATACGTAAGAGAAAGTGAAGGAAGGACAGTTTCACCTTTGAGTTACAAATTAGATTTATCTCCAGGATATTTTGAGGGAAGTCCTGAATACTTACTTCAAAAAATTAAAATGAGATGAGTATAAGGCAGTCAGCACAGGGTCTGCTGCAACAGCATTACTGGTAGTTATAAGACTACCACTGTTAAGATGTTTAAAAAAAGAGGATATTACACCTATGATTTCCCTTCATGCTATGCTCCTGATCAGCAGCCTCCAAGGTTATCTGCAGTCAGCCAGGATGCTGCTCTGATCCCTTCCTCCTAACCAGTGACCCTATCCAGGGCTAACTCCATATTGACTCTGAACAACATGATCCAATCACCAACATACAAAACCAAAGTATTTTATTGTTGATTCATCTTGAGGTTCTAGAGGGGACCCCAAGCCTTTTATGGAATCCACAGCCTTCCCGAAGTAGAGGGGAGTCCACAGCATTGCCAGGATTCCCACATCAGGAGAGAGATTAATACCCAGGGTCCTCTGAGCTCCACTTAAGGAACCACCTATTCTGATCTTGTTAATCTTGTTAGTCCCTCCATGTCACTTCTACTTCATCTGTTCGATACCTGTGGAAAACCAGGAAACACTTGGTCAAAGACTATCCCTGAGCATTGTCTTTGCTTCTCTACTCTGAGGTTCCTGGACTTTTCTTCTCTGTTGATTTTTTTTTTTTTTTCTGCTTACCTCCCACATCTACTCTTATCTACCCCCTCCCAAAGACTGACTCACCTTTGTGTAATCCCAGAATCACTGAGGGGGGTCCTGTGTCCAGCCTGAAACATCTCCCAGCCAGCCTGGGCTATCATGGCTCCATTGTCAATGCAGAATCTGGGAAGGAAAAGAGATGTGAAATTTGTAATCCAAAAACAGAAAATCAAAATAATGGTAAAAGAAAGGAAATCAAAAAAGGGAAAAGGCTTTTGCCTCTCATCTGTGGCAAAAAGCTGGGCTCCGCGTTCCTGGCACATTGTCTGCATCATCGCCTGCAGCCTCACATTACCTATGGGAGGGAGGGGACAGGGTCCATTTTAACCATCCCTGCCTAGCCCACATACACTTCATGTGCACTTAGGACTAGGCACAAGGATTGGGAAGGACAGGCAAGCAATTTTCCCCAACATTTAGCAATTTAGAACCTCAGAAGAAAGATGCCCAATGCCAGGACGAGGTAAGAGGAACTGTTCACTGATACATACACCCAACACCTCCCACAATGAGGGCCTCCTGGGAGCCACAATGTGCCATGGCTCGCTCTGTGATCTCCACCAGCATTGCAAACACAGTTTCCTGTGGAGAACAGACAAGGTGAGAACATCATAGGGGCATCTACGTTTAGTTCTGCTGTCATATAAAAACTTCTCCAACTTCTACTTTCCGTCCCAGCTTTTCACTCCATTACCTGCAGGGAGAAACATAGATCCTCAGGAGTACACTCGCCTGTGGCTAACATCCGATGGGCTGCATCCTACAATTAAAGGGGAAAACAAACAAAATAGTGAACAGAGCCAGGCATGGTGGCGTGTATCTCTAATCCCAACACTCTGGGAGGCTCAAGCAGGAGGACCACAAGTTTGAGCCCAGCCTGGGCAACTTAGCAAGACCGTCTCAAAGTTTTAAAATATCTGCTGGGGAACTAATTCAGTGGCACTGCTCCTGCCTCACAAGTGCAAGGTCCTGAGTTCAAACCCTGGTAGCAAAAAAAAAAAATTTTTTTTTCAATTTAAAAAGGGCTGGGTATGTAGCTCAGTGCCAAGGCCCAAGGTTCAATCCCCAGCAGATCCCCCGCCCCCACCCCAATCATTGGCAGATTTTTCTTTTGTTCCATGTTGTGTCTATTATCTAGAACAGTGTCTGGCACACAAAAAATATTCAATGAATATTTGCTAAATGGATATATTCAGCATCCAACATAGACCAGTGCTATATGCAGGAAATACAATGGTGAGCAAAACAGATATGCTTCATTAAAAGTGCATGAAAATGCCTTTGTCTCCTGACCTCTCTGACACTCACCTCAATGAAAGACAGAATCCCTGAGAAAGAGACATCCATCCCCTTTACCGTATATGGCAGCTCAACTAGCTTCTTGCCTCTATGTAGGAAGAGAAAAAGTGGCTCACCTTCCAATGCTCTATCAAACCTATTCACAGGGAAACCTCTAAAACCCCAAAACCAGCTGCCTTCTTCCACGTATGTCTTCTTACCGTTTTGCCATCTGTTCAATGTTGTAACCTGGACTTGGGTCATTGGAAATCTATCAAAGAGAAAAGAAAAAAGTACATAATCAGCTGGGCATGGTAGCAGACGTCTGTAGTAATCCCAGCTACTTAGGAGGTTGAGGCAGAAGGACTGAAGTCTGAAGCCAGCCTGGACAACTTAGTAAGACCCTTTCCAAAATAAAAAAAAAAAAGGGCTCGGGAAAAAGGTCAATGGTACAGCACTCCTGGGTTTAATCTCCAGGGCCACCAAAGCCAAAAACCAAACAGACAGAAACAATAACCATACAAATATGAATAAAGAAAAATACAGAAATATGTTATTGTACATATGTATACGTACTTACCATTCTGGAGTGTTTCACCACACCAAGTTGAAGAAAAGCCATCAATAAATATTTTTATAGAATTATACACAATAGACACATATGCAAATAGATACTTATTAATATACACAATATACACAAAGTATCTTAATTATCCACCCATGTGGGATAAAAAAGATGAAAGTAATTCTTATAATTCCAGCACTCTGGGAGGTTGAGACCAGAGGGTCACAAGTTGAGTCCAGCCTAGGCAACGGAGTGTGAGGCCTTATATCAACATAAAAGGGCTGGGGGGCTGGGGATTTAGCTCAGTGGTTCTGCCGCCTGCCTTGCAGGTGCAAGGTCCTGAGTTCGACCCCAGGTACCAAAAAAACCCAAACCCAAACAAAATAAAATAAAAGGGCTGGGGACGTAGCTCAGCCCAAAAGTCCTGGGTTCAATCCCCAATACGATGACGACGACAACAACAACAACAAAACAATAAATGTAAGGGCTGGGGATTTGGCTCAGTGGTCCTGAATTCGATCCCCAGTACTGGAAAATCAATCAATCAATAAATGGAAGAAGATGATGATGAAGTCAGACATCCAGGAAGCATAAGAAGCCACTTACTTCCATTTCCATTGTTCCCCAGAAACTCACCCATATTTTAGCTTCTTCACAGCTTCAATGGCTTACCTTCAGCACCCGAGCAAAGCGATCCAGGCAATTACCCACAGCAATATCGATGGTTTCCCCAAAGATTCGGTACCGATGTTCTGAGTAGGCAATGACCTAAGGATGATGAGGGTGTCCATGAAACCTCAAGTCTGCAAAGAGGAGTATCTGACTTTGCGGGAGACAGTTGAAAAGCGCAAAGGTGGCCAATAAAACTTCCAATATGAAATGAACACTTAAGTCCCTTCCCTTCCTGGTGCTATTAGGGATTTCCTTTCTTTCTGATGTAGATCTTAATTTGCTGCCAAAAAGCTGGTGAGAAAGGGGAAGGAAAAATCTTGCCTTTCTTTCTACCTCTCTCATCCACTCTTTTCAACCTAATCATCATCCCTGTTTCCTACACTAAAGCAAGCTTCAAAGGGGAAGGGGAAAACTCTACTATGGCTCTTCTTCATCAACTCCTGTAGCCTCTGATGCTTTCTGCCTATCATCCTTCAGGCCTCAACCAGCTACCTGGCCCCTACCAACTGACACTCCCACATAGTTTTCAGAGGAATGTGTACTTCATCTTTAGTAAGTATTTTAACACAAAATTTTAAGACACCACCCTTTCATAAGCAGAGGACAATGCTAACAGCAACCCCATCAGGTGCTGTTAGAAAAGAATCCAACAGCAACCTTAAAAGGTCATGTAAAGTATCCCAAATAACTTTAGCTTCACCCATAAATTTAAAATATCACTACCATTTATAAAGAAATTTTAAAAAACTAAATTCCTCCAGGCATGGTGGCATATACCTGTTAAAACTGAAGCCCTCAAGATAATGAAATTTATTTAATTTTTGGTGTTTTAAGACAGGGTCTCATTATATATCATTCAGGCTGGCTTTGAACTCATTATGTAGCCTAGGCTGGCCTTGAACTCTAGGTGATCCTCCTCCCTCAGCCTCCTGAGTGCTGGGATCACATGTATGTACCACCATGCCTGGCCTCACTATTCTTTTCTAAAGTAGAAATTCCTACTCTTTATAACTGCACATATAGAAGTCAACTAATGTTCTAATGATTGTAAATGTTTTAACACTGCCCAAATCTGCACTGTTACAAACTCTTTTGTGAGTCTTCTATAATAACTTAGGTTCAAGTAAGCCAGCTTTGTTCTCGTAGCTCCCTCAACTCAGTGAGAACAAGGAAGCTGCTGGTTGAGTGCTTCCGAAATTAAGATGGAATAGGTAAAGTACTCTTAATACCTGAGTATTTCCTCCGCTGACATATAACACAGTTGGGCTGTTGGCTCCAGTGATGAGACGGCCCATTTCAATGTGGCCTATACAATGGTTCACACCTACCAATGGTTTATTCCACAGCTGGGCCACTGTACGGGCTACAACGGCTACAGAAGCCAATGGGGCACCCATGCCAGGACCTACACAGATAGAAATGGGAGTTAGAATTCTAGAGATTAGAAAAAACAGGTGAGGGAAGTAGGAGATGTGAGTGGGAAGGTGGTGGAGGCAGAGGTAAGGTGTAGGCTATTTTAACCTACTCAGTCTCTAGGTATACTCTTCCACTGGACTGTTCTCCCAACCTTACCTTTGGTGTAAGCAATGCAATCAATGTCTTGGGAGGTTAATTTAGCTTCTGTTAGTGCCTCCTGCAGTAAGTCTAGGATAACAGCTCGGTGATGCCTGGCAGTGGCACTTGGGAGGAATCCTAGGAAATGAAAAAATGAACACAGGTCATGGATCACAAAGTTTTTCTGTAGAAAAGGTATAGAGTAATAAAAAAAAAAATGAAAATAGAAGTGTCAGTAACGTAGGAAGAATCCTTTCAGTCTTTCATGTTTTCAGATATTCTTTCCAGCCTCTGTACATTCTATTTAGCTTTCAGAAACATCCTTTTCATACTTAACTCCTTACCCTTCTGGACTCAATTTAAGTGATACATACTTCATACTCTTTGGTGACTTTCCTTGTGAACCTACACATGATTACACTGTTGACATATAATTTTTGTTTTTTTCTTTTTTGAGACAGGGTCTTCCTATGTAGTTCAGGCTGGCCTTGAACTTGCGGTGATCCTCCTGCCTCAGCCTTTAAAGTGCTGGTAATGTGAAATAGGAAGAAAAGGGCCAAAGGGGAAGGAAGTGGGAGGGCTAGGGAAAAGGATAGAAGGGAGTGGGATTAATATGAGAAAATGGAAAAATAGGAACAAAATCTTTGTACATAGGGAGGACTGGAGGGGTTGAAGGGAGGGCTGGTCAAGGGTGAAAAATAAGAACCAAGAGAGACTATGTAAAGGTGCAAATTTCCAATGATGAATGTCATTATATTGTATACCTAAAATGTACCAATGATTAGAATGAATAATCGGTAACGCAAAACAGGAAGAAAAGGTCCAAAGGGGTAGGAGTAGTGGGAGGGGTAGGGGAAAGGAAAGAAGGGAAAGGAAAAATGATGAGAAATGGAAAAAATGGAAATAAAGTCTTTGTAAATAGGGAAGGGTGGAGGGGGTGAAGGGAGGGCTAGGAATGGGGAAAAAATAAGAACCAAGATGCATTATGTAAAGGTACAATTCCCAATGAGAAATGTAATTGTGTTGTATACCTACAATGTACCAAAAAATGAATTTAATTAAAAAAACAAAAAGTGCTGGGATTACAGATGTGTGCCACCACACCTGGCCCAACATATAACAATTATACCAATATAATTGTTTGTAGTTTCTCTCGTTTAACCACAAATAGCTCAGAGCACTATTTATTTTTGTATTTTCAGTGCCCAAGTGCCTAGGAGACTGAATGGCAAATATATATGTATATTTCTAATGAGCAACCTGTCACAGGGAGGCTTTTCAGGTTTGTGTAGCTCAGCTGGTCTTTCCTAAGTATACAGATGTGTTTGGGGGGAGGATACACAAGATACCTTATAAGTAATATTAATTAAAGGTTATGATTATCTGTTCATTCAGTCCTCAAGACCTAGCAGCAATACATTTAATATTCCCATTTTAAGAGTAAGGAGGACACATCCAAAACATCATAGAACACAAATATACCAAAGCCAGGTAGTTCTGTCTTGACACCTAAGCTAGGAGTCTTTCTGCTTTCATCTCATTCTAAAATATTTTGAATTCTATCCGTAGCGAACCATTTATTACGCCGTAGTGTAAATATCTATGTGTTGTGCCTCACTGCATGGCAGGCTCATAACATTTTTTTAGTGTTCACAACATAAAAGACTCAGAATCTGAACGAACCCAGAAATTCCAAGTCCAAGTGACTCTTCTAGTCATCAGCCTTATAACAGTGACTGTCACATAACTTCAATCGGTCGCAGACCAAAAGCTTTGTAAAGGTGGGAAAACACGCCCCATACCCCACTTCACCAAAGTTGAGAAAGATGGGTCCAGGGAAGCGGTCCTCAAGTTTAAGTCCCTACTCGCTGCTCACCTGTGCCCGGTGGCGTAACGTAGGTTCGCCGCGGGTTCGCCAGCACCTCGCCATCCCGCACCACTCCCACGCCAATCTTGTTGGCGCTGCCTTCAAAACCTAGCACCGCCGGCATGGTGCAGACCGGGAGAAAACGCCGGGAGGACTCCTAATGACCTGTGCCGCTACAGAGGCCCTCACCAGTCCGTGCTGGGCCGCAGAGTCTGGAGCGCGGGTGAACCGAGTCTGCCTGCCTGGCAAAGACAGAGAAGGGCAGACGGCGACAAAAAAACAGAACTCCACCAGATGGAGCGCGCCTGCCGACTGCGCCACTGCCTTCAAGGTCCCTTGAAGGACCTGTCTTCCCATCTGCCAGCGAAGCTGATCAGGCTTCTGCGCCTCACGACCCTATCCGTTCCCATGCCGGTCCCCTGTGGCTCAGCCCTGCCTTCCCACTGTTTTCTTTCTGTACAACGTTATGCTCTTTGGTCATCCTGGTAGGATGAGTCACGAAACCGGCACATCCACAAACAGCCAGGAAATGGAGTGCTGGGGCCTTCACTCCCCTGAAGATGTGGAAAGAGGAGGGGCTTTCATCACGTGGTTCCAGACAGCCCAATCACCCGCATTCCTCGGCCGTAAGGGGGGGGGGTGAGGCTCCGGGTCACGTGACCACGCCTGTTACCCACGTGGGAACGCAGCGTGCTTCATTCTTTGTGCTCGGATTAGAAGTCACGCTAGGACGGGAGCTGGTTAGGTACAGAGTCGCTGTGCTGCTCTGCTCCTAATACAGGATTCTCCGGAGGTCTGACTGGCAAGCTTGAATCAAGACTCTTCACTGAGGTCCTCAGTTGGCCAAAGGGCAGATCTTGTGAGAATGCAAGGCATTCAGAAATGTTCTAGTGTGGGTGAGGGGCTGAAGGGCCCGTGATGCCCGAAGGCAGGGAAGGGCTTCAGAGATAGTGGCTGGAAAGGCGGGACCTGGTCTGGGGACGACAGAGGGAGGACTCTTCTCTTTAGCCTTATCTGATTCCACGTTTTCTTTGCGTCTACAGACCACGCGGTGAAAATACTGTTTCGGTGGGCGACGTGGTGCTGGTGCCAAAGGGCGTTCGTCACAGGGATGCCAAAGCGGGGGAAAAAGGGATCAGTGGCCGAAGATGGGGAAGAGCCCAAGAGAGGTAGGGGAATGAAATGGACCCGTCTTCCTACAAGCGGGGGGGGGGGGGGGTCGTCTTATTAATAATTTTTTCTGTGAATGATACCGAGTTACATCTTTTAAGTTGACAAGTCTGGGCAACTATATATTTTTTATGGGTCTGTAGTTAATTATTATTATTATTTTTTTTTTTTTTTGGTACCGGGGATTGAACTCGGGTAGTTGCGCTTGCGAGGCAGGCGGCGGAACCACTGAGCTAAATCCCCGGCCCCTGTAGTTAATTCTTGATGGAAGTTGGAAATCGCCAACATTTACCATTATGTCTTACTCATTTTGTAGAGCCAGAGGCCAAGAAAAGTAAGGTGGGAGCAAAGAAAAACGAAAAAGAGGCAGCAGGAGATGGCCCAGTTCTGTATGAAGATCCTCCAGATAAGAAAACCTCACCTAGTGGCAAATCTGCCACACTGAAGATATGCTCCTGGAATGTGGATGGGCTTCGAGCCTGGATTAAGAAGAAGGGTTTAGATGTAAGTGGAATTCAGGCAGGGGAGGAGACATTCCCTAATATTGAATGATCTTGGAATTTAATCATAATCACTTTTTCTCATTTCAGTTCCCAGGATACGAGTTTTCTAAGGGGCAGGGTCTTGCTTTGTGATTCAGGCTGGCCTGTCAGCCTCCTGAGTGGTGGATTACAGGCATGTGCCACCATAGCCAGCTGGGATATGAGTTTTCTTATGGGAGTAGTATGAGAGGAATGAGACCAAGTCTTGCCTATGTGTCCATTCTTTCAGTTCTATTGCATTGTTTTGTTTCATGTCCCTTTCTGTTCCCAGAATGTTGCAAAAACCTCTTTATTGGACCTTCTCCATTTTCTCTCCAACGTAGCCTGCATTTTTTCTTTTGGAGGCATGGTCTCCCTGTGTAGTTCAGGCTGGCCTCGAACTCATGGCAATCCTGCCTCAACCTCCCAACTGCTGGGATCACAGGCGTGCACCCCCATGCCTGGCTATCCTGCATTCTTATAATTACAGCTTAAAAATTTTAGTTGGAAGCTGGGTGTGGTGACCCAAACCTATATCCCCAGCACTCTGGGAGGCTGAAGCAGGAGGATTGCAAATTCAAGCTCAGCCAGGGCAGTTTAGCAACTTAGTGAATCTCTATCTTAAAAAATTTAAAAAGGGCTGAGGACGTGAGGATGTATCTCAGTGCAAAGGCCCTGCGTTAATCTTAAAAGAAAAAAAAACTACGGTATGTATGACTTTAATTCCCTTCATTAGTTCTGTTACATCATTCGTAATTGTTTAAGTTTTGATTTGTTAAGTTCCTCATGCATAATAAGGATTGTGTGGATAGCTAGTATTTACCACATGAACTATTCAGCAGATATTTGCTGAATTAATACTTTTTCTGCCTTGCTTTTTACTCAGTGGGTAAAGGAAGAAGCCCCGGATATCCTGTGCCTCCAAGAGACCAAATGTTCAGAGAACAAACTCCCAGCTGAGCTTCAAGAGCTATCTGGACTATCCCATCAGTACTGGTCAGCGCCTTCTGACAAGGAAGGATATAGTGGTGTGGGTCTACTCTCCCGCCAGTGCCCACTCAAAGTCACTTATGGCATTGGTGAGATCCTATTGATTCCTAATGCCCAGGCTATTCTAAACTAATTGTTCATATGCCAACCCTGCCTCAGTGTTTTACTCCTTTTTTTTTTCTGCTTTTATTATTTTGTTAATACTGTTTTCATCATTTGTTAGGTGAAGAGGAACATGACCAGGAAGGCCGGGTGATTGTGGCTGAATTTGACTCATTTGTGCTGGTTACAGCCTATGTACCTAATGCAGGCCGGGGTCTGGTAAGGTTGGAGTACAGGCAGCGCTGGGATGAAGCCTTTCGCAAGTTCCTGAAGGGCTTGGCTTCCCGAAAGCCTCTTGTACTGTGTGGGGACCTCAATGTGGCTCATGAAGAAATTGACCTTCGTAACCCCAAGGGAAACAAAAAGAATGCTGGCTTCACCCCACAGGAGCGCCAAGGCTTTGGGGAACTGCTGCAGGCCGTGCCACTGACCGACAGCTTTCGTCACCTCTACCCTAATGCTGCTTATGCCTACACTTTTTGGACTTACATGATGAATGCTCGGTCCAAGAATGTAGGTTGGCGCCTTGATTACTTTTTGTTGTCCCATTCGCTTTTACCTGCATTGTGTGACAGCAAGATCCGTTCCAAGGCTCTTGGCAGTGATCACTGTCCCATCACCCTGTACTTAGCACTGTGACACATTCTCCAAATCACTGTGAGCCTGGGAACATTCCCCCATACTCCTTCTTTAATAGCTCTCTAAAAATCCACACTTTCTCTTCTATGAGAATATGAATTCTTTGACCAGGCACCAGTGACAGGTTTCTTTTAAGCCCAAGGTTTTTTTGTGTGAATCCTTACATTAAAAGCTTCTGATGACTTCTTTTGAACTATCCATGTGTAAATAAAAGGCCATAGTTTCAGCCTTGCTGTGTTTTGTTTTACCGGTGTGGGGCTACAAATTTCCTTCCTCTTTATTCATACAAGTTAACAACTGAAAAAGGTTAGTCAAGACCTTATTTATTTACAAGCACAGGATAAATCCCTAATTTCCCAAGACAGGACCCCTACCCAGCCCAGTTAAATACTGCAACTGGGGGGAGGGGGGGATAAGCAAGGTTGGAAGGGGGAATTAGGGAAACAAGGACTGGGGGAATATACCCCACATTAAATAGTTATATACACATCAGTTCCTGTGGTTTTGTACAGAGCAGCGGCTGACCCCACCAGGACACGGAATGTGGGGAGAGGAGACAGGGTACTGAGGTCAGAGCCAGCCCCTGGTGAAGTGCAATAGCAGCAGCAAGGTCCTAAATGGTAAATGAGAGGTAGGGGAACCCCCAAGGCTACCCACCCCCACCCTGCCCTGGAATGTATAAGGGACAGGAATGGCTCTCAGCATATAGGAAGGACGAGGGTAGAACCATCAGTAGGACTCAGGTTTAGGGGCAATACCTTGCCCACTTCACCCTAAACACAGCAACCCTTGGAGGAAAGCAGAAGGCCAGCAGTGGTGTTTTATCTACCCCTCCAAACCTAAGTGAGGGCCTGGTTCCTTCCTACCTCTCCCCTGGGAAAAGGAAGGCAGCTGCCTGGCTTCTTTATAGAAGCCCAGGGAGCCTTTGACTCCAGCTCCCTTTGTAGTGTGTCTGTCCCCACCAGGGAGGGGCCAGGCACAGTCTAGATCACCAAGGGGCTCAGGAGAAGTTCTGGACAGGGTGGCTGACCTTCATACAGGCCCAGTAGAGGGCCCGGCCCAAACACAGCACAGCCAACAGGATCACAAATGCCCAGGCTGCATATATACCTCCATATCGTCGTGCATGTTTCCATGTGCCAAACTGATGAAGAGGAGAAAGGAGAAAAAGATGAGGTTACTCTTCTTCCTACTACTGAGAAGCCTAGGAATAGTAACAGTTCACTTTGGTCCCTGTCTCCTATCCATAAGTAAACACCTTAAGGGACATTTGAAAAGGTCCAAGTTACTCAGCTCCCATCCCCTTGGCAAGAAAATAGTCATACCATCCCAGACATTTGTCAGTCCTTCTTAGTCTGAACTAGGCCTAATAGTAACTCAATTTAAACCATTTCTCTACTGTCCTGACTTCTACAGAAAGAAGACAAGCTTTTTTTTTAATTCCCTTAGTAACAAGACAGTCACAACTTTAGCGCCTCTATACCTTAAAACTCCTAATGTCCTCACTTTTTTTAGGTTACTGATTTCCCAAATCAGCCTTAGAGGAAGCTGATGAATGAAAAGGGTTGGGTCAAAGTTACTCACAGCAAGGCCAGTGGCAGTGACTGCCAAGAGTAAGCTAAGCAAGAAGCAGCAGATACATCTCTTTCTTGGATATCTGCGCCCAATAGATGACCTGTGAGGAAGCAAATCGGCACTCTTTCATAACAGCTCTGGTGTTTTGTTCCACACATCACCAAACTGCCAGATCAATCCCTAATCACTCACACTTTCCTGCAGTGGGGGCAACGTGCCAAAGTTCGGTCTGTGAACTCAGTCCACTGTGGAGAAAGAAAAAGTAATTATAGAAGGAACGTCTTCTTCAACGAGAACCTTGGGACAAGAATGGGAAATGTGTCCCTACAGGACAGACTTTTTTGGGATTTACTATATTATTCCTTATGGTATTCCAATATTCCCTCCTCACCAGAAAAGTATTCTTGCAATGTCCACAGATGACCCTAACACCCGTTGGCTGTGGTTCTGGACTCAGAGGTCCTGGATGCACAGGCCCCAGGTTGATGATTCTTTTGCTATACAGGAAGAAAATACTATGTTTGAAAAATTTTACTTCTGAAAATTCTCACACTGTCCTTCCTTCACATACTCACTCCCTGCCTCTCTATAAAGTTCCTCTACTTTCTCTGAACATATAAAACTTTAAGTCCCCCAATCTTAAACCAGAGAATCTTATGAGAAACAGTGCTACTTAAACTTAGGTCTCCAATTCCCCTTTCATCTCAGAATAATTCACTCCCTCCCATGCTATTTTCCTATAGAACAATTTCATCCCATTCTTGTCACTGAGATAAAGATGGCCATAGTACAGCATTTCTAGGGCACCACGATTCATCAGTTTTTTCTCCTTGTAAATAAACACCAAGGTCCCTCACCTTTACGTTTTCTATAAACTTTTTTTTTTTTTTTTTTTGGCTTCCCAATTTTCCCTACTTATTCTCTTCCCCATTTTATGCCTCTTACCAGTAGGGCCGAGGGCAGGCAATCCGCTGGGATGACACTTTGCAGATAAGGAGACAGTTACAGGGGCATCGAACATATTTTTTCCCTGGGGGTGCATTCTTGATTGGCTAGACAACAAAAGAGCCATCAGCAAGCAAACCTCTAATCCCAATCCCTTCCGATTCATTCCAAACACACTTTCATGGAAGATATCAGTGAATTAAGGTCCTAGCTAAGGAGGAGAAATGAAGAGACGAGTGAGATCGGCAAATGAGAACTACATTTAAATATCCAGGATAGGTGCGACGGTGAAGAGAACGTTAGCTTTGGTGAGTGGCTTTTGGGGAAATGGCTATATGAGACTCCTGGAACTGAAACTAAGTTTTGTGAAGAGCCCTTAGTCAGAGAGTAAAATCAAGAGATCAGAAAGAGGATCCAGGAAACAAGGCCCATTTTGTAGATATGTATAACTCACAGTGGCTTCGTTGCAGACACCACATTTGACTACATGCTGATGCATTTTGCCTTCCACGTTGATGAGAGATTGGCAGACTCGGCAGGGGATCATAGGGGCATTTCCACTGTCCGGGCTGGTTAGGGGCGAGTAAGGGGGTGGGTCCTCCCCAGGCAACACGGCGGGATGCCCCTCAGGAAAGGGGGGAAATGCTAAAGAGGAAATAGAAGAAAAGAAGGGGCTGGGATCACTTGCAAAACCCCTCACTGATGCTCCATGGGTGTAGGACACTATCTGATCTTCAAATCTTCTGACCAAGATTCGTGGACCTCTCATAATAGGTGCTTCCCTCAGCTTCCTCCGAACCCTCCTCCGTTTCCAGGCTGGGGAACATTGGAGAGGGAAGCAGGTAACGCCACGGCACAGGTGCAACAGTCCCGCACCTGGCGCTCGGGCCCCGCCCCCTCCTGCCTCTCGGCGAACCCCGGGGAACAACTTGGGCCCGCCCCGGCTTACCCTGGGGCGGGGCATGTTTACCGGATCCGTACGGTGGTGCGGAGGGGGTCAGGCCTCCCCCAGGCCCAGCCCCACTCCCGCCCGGCCCTATTAAGCCGTTGCCGCCGGCGCCACCGTCGATGGGCTCGGACAGCAGCGGGGAACGCTCTCCATCTGCAGCCATGGCTGTCTCCCTCCAGGGCCAGCTGTCCAGCTCCCTTCGCCGCCTTCACCACGGCTGCCGCCGCCGCCGCCTCCACTGCTACCGGGCCCCCAAAGCGCCTGCGCGCCCAGCTCCCAACTCGCCCCGCAGCTAGTGGCCGGCCCCGCCCAGTTCCGTCCCGCAGCACGCGACAGACTATCCCCGCCCCCACCGAGCGGTCATTGGTGGAGGTGATTCAATTCCCGGTCTGTGAAGGCAACTCTTCTTCTCCATTGGCGAACGCTGCGCTAACTCACTGTCACATGACCTGCCAAGAGAGGCTGAGCTTGCAAAAACCGCACGTGACTTGAGGTTCTGCTGGCCATTGGAAGTGTAGCCAGTCGCGCTACTTCCAGACCAGGAGGTGGGGCTGCACTGCTTCTGCTCACTGGTTACGGGTGTCAGGAAGCTGCGCGCCCTTTGTCCCTGAGCGTCATCTGCTTCTCATTGGACCGAAGATACCACTAAAAGACTTTTGTTTGCGTTATAGGTGGCCGCCAGTTAGTCGATGACTTCTTTTCCTTAGCGCTGTGATCCATAAGGCACAACTTCATTGGCTCAAATTTAGCGCCACAACATGAGGGGCGTGGCCTAAGCGTTATAGGAGGATCGGCAATAAGCGAGTGCCGAAGCTTGGGCTGTTCCGAGTATCCAGCAGGAGAGCTAGACAACAGGAATGTTAGGGAACGTTAGCTTCTCCACTCAAGAACTATTTTTAAAGCCAAGATAGGGGTGGTGGCGAGTGCCTGTAATCTCAGCACTATGGGAGCCTGAGGCAGGAAGATCGAAAGTTCTCAGGCCCCGCCTGGGCAATATAGCAATTTGGCGAGAACCCTTCTCAAGCTAAAAAAAAAAAGGGATGGAATTGTAGCTCAGCCCTGTCTTCAATCTCCAGTAGAGATGAGGAGAATCCAAGGTAACCATATACCAGGAAGAAATGGGTTTTAAAAAATTAAAGATTATCACCTTGCCTTTCTCCCTGAAGACTCTTTTAGGTTAGAGCAAGAGACTGTTCTCTAGGAAACTGCCCCTGCAGACTACCCTCTGCTCCCGCCGATCAAATTGCTGATCAAATTGCGAAATTGGGATTGGGCTTGTGGCTGAATGACAGCACTTGCCAAGCATGCGCCACACCCAGGGTGTGATCCTTAGCACCTGAAAAAAAAAAATCGTGATAATAGCTTTTTATGAATGTCTCTGCTACTAGGAAGAGAGCTCATCGTTTTACTCAATTTTATGACCACCAAACCTTAACATATATGCATAAATATTTGTTAGTTGAATTATCCAGTAAAATCCAAGAGTATTTTAATCACCAGTTTGGCTGACACAGTCTGAGATATGTCTTAACTTTATGTATGTGGCAGGGGAGTGAGACAGAGTCTTGCTGAGTTCAGTCTGGCCTTGAACTCACAGTATAGCCCATGCTGGCCTTGAACTGCTTCTGATCCTCCTGCATCAGCCTCCCAAATGCTGGGATCACAGGCGTGTGCCATAACAACCAGCTAGACTTATTTTAACTTTGTCCTTAGCCACAAGACTGTCAGTGGGAGTTCTAAAAAATGTTGAAAAATCCTT